CAATCTACTCCACAACCAATCATGGGCCCCCTCCTTGTCCGGGCCCCTAGCCCAATGGTTAATGCGGCCCTGGGCGTAGGCCCCATCCGTAGCTTAAATCTGAAGTCGTAGATTCCAGTTATTCCTGCCGAAGACGAAGGCAGGGTGGAGCCTACCCCAAAAGAAAGAAAAGAAAATGAAATACCCACCAGACGAAGTATTTCTTAGAAGATCCTAGAACATATAAAACAAAAGAAAAGAAAATATATTTAATTAGTCATAATTAAGGTGAGTATGACAAGCGTTAAAAATGTATCCGATTATAGCCAAAGTATTGGTGCTTATAGAGTAGAGGAGATGGACCACAAAGGCCTCAGTGAGAGAGAGAGAGGCCACAATAGGCCTGATAGTGATAGGCCGCACAGAGAGAGAGGGCCATAGTGAGAAAGGCCATTATAGACCACAGAAAGAAATACCTCAGAAGGCTACAGAGGGGAAACCTGGGAAAGACAGGCCGCAGAAAGAAATTACACAAAGATAGGCAACAGAGGGAACGGCCGGATAGATAGGCCGCAGAGAGAAATGCCACAAAAGATAGGCAACAGAGGGGAAGGCCGGAGAGAGAAAGGCTAAGTTAAGCCACAGATAGTAAACCATAGAGGTTGTTAGGAGTAATATGAATAGGTATTACACCACCACCAGTAATTGCATATAGATTACCTTGAGTACAACTTGAAATTATTTGCTGAGCTGGTTTGTGGTTCAGGTCTAATGTATGATTCAAATGCAGAGGATGACAATCTGCCCAGCAGCTTGATGGCTGATGTTGTAACTCCACGTTCAGCAGCAGTAGTGGCCGGTGTATTGAGGAGGTGACAGACTACAGCTTTCTAAAACGGTGGCTAAATGAGAGCTGAACCAGCCACGGAGAGAAAGGCCATGATAGGCTGCAGAGAGAAAGGTCATGATAGGCCATGAGAGAAAGGCTACAAGAGGCCAGCCACTAAAAGCCGTGATAGGCCGTGAAACATGTAATGAATAGTTGTGACACCACCACCAGTGTTTGCTTAATTTACCTTAAACATACTGCATTAAATTTATAACAAAAGGCATAAATAATAAATATTTACAAACGAATGACTGTATGAGCTATCTTATGACAGGCCGCATTATGCCATTTAACACAGAAAGATAGCGTAGTTCATGTAATGAGAAAAGCCATTACAGGCCAATTTTGCGATGGACAATGATAGGCAGAGTTACGTGAACAATAATAGTCACACTTACCTAATGGTAACAATAGGCCAAATTGAACAAAGGCCACGATAGGCTGAGCAATGTGTAATGTCAATATGCCATGTAAATGCCCGACGGGCTGCAATTACATTGATAGCCTGTGCATGTTTCTATAAGCTAATGTGAAAGCCCCATGTGTGAATAACCACGATAGGCCATTGTATCAAAAGCCATGATAGACTGGACATGAGGAGCACGTGAGAAGTAACCACCACCAGTAGTTTGCCAAGAGTATCATACTGTACCTTGAGTATTACATTAAATAGTTTTAGAGTCTGATCTTGCCGGAACTCAGATGCGGAGGACGATCATGTACATAGCAGCTTGATGGCGGATTACAGGGATTCTAAACCACCACATTGTGTTAGAGATGCCATTAGTTTAGGTTAAATGATAGAGGTAGTATTAGGGTTCTAACAGCGACTAAGAAAAAGCATATACACAGATATATAATTAACATTCTTTAGGCTAGACTCCTGCACACACTTGATAGAACTCCATCTAACTGCCGGAACCCACAGAGGAAACCTCTCCCCCAAAAATAGAAAATGAGCCAGATCAGCATGACCATCAGTAGATGAAATACTCAATGTTATGCGAAGGCCCCGATAGGCCGTGATATGTGAAGGCCACGATAGGCCAAACTTCATAAACAGCAATGGACAAACTTACCTGATGACCACCATAGCAGAGTTATGCGAAGGGCCACAATAGTCCGTGTAATGTGAAGGCCACAATAGGCCAAGTAAGACCGAAGCCAATAGGTATGAGGAAACAGAATGAACCACCACCAGTAGATGCAAAAATAAACGAGCCTTGATTATAGCTTAAAGATGCCTGCTGAGCATTGAGCCGAATCTTACCTAGAACTCGAATGGGAGAATGACCATGTATACATCAGCTTGATAGAGACTGCATTCATAATAGCGCCAGTCCAAAAGAAAGACCTGTGTAAAGATGAGGTGAGAGTAAATGACTGCATTGTGATGAAATGGCCAAGGTTAGTAAAGTGATCGAGTGTAGTAGTTAAGTTTAAGCAGAAAGCGTAAATACGCATAAGCATAAATATTGGAACTGTAATAAACAGAACTATTCTCTGGCTTAACTCCTACGAAAGCTTGATAGACTCTGCAGAGAAGACACCTTTTAACCATAGGAACCCAACGAGTGAACCTTCAGAGAAACCAGATCGCATGAAATACAAGTTAAAGAAATACTAGGAATGTATGGAACTAGGACAAAGATAGAAATAAATCTTGTGGTACATTAGCCTTGCTGAAGGATAAGAACGCTTTACATTTGACACGATGCCTTACTAGCTAATTGAACTTTAGATAGCTATTGAACCATGTAAAAGCATAAAGAAAGCCCTTACACAAAGATTTTTTGCACAACTGTAAAGCAGATGTAATGAATGAGCATACACTGACCAGGACATTAATGTCACGGGGCACAAACTAAATTTTAACAGAAATGTAGTAATTATAACCTCCAAGTCCAAACATTGACAAAGTTGAGGAGAAAATCCAGAGAGGAAGTCATGTCTATAGACGGGAAGTACGTAAAACACATCAGACTATAGAAAGGCCTTCACGAGTACAAGTTCCAAGATAGAATACTTCAATGCTCACCACATAGAAAAAGAGAGAGTGCCAGCTAGTTATTTATCAGAGACTAATGCCACATAGCTAAGCTAAAGCTAATTACGTTAAATATAATATGTCCTGAGAATAGTATAAGAATAATCAGATTAGACAAAACTATGATGAAATTCTTAGTTAGAGTCAATTTATTGTGCATCGGGAAAACTTTAATGTTTGAGCATAGCAAGAAAACGTGTCCGTTTACATTCTTGCTCTTATTCAGAGGATGCTCATGCAGAAATAGACAGCGAGGACCTCTTTGCAAAAATGGGCTACGCAACAGGAGAGACTTAAAGTCGTAAAACTTACTCCATTCAAGTCATTCAGGAATTGTTGTAGTTAGATGCAAATGAAACAGTGATTATAATGGTGTAGGCTGATGAACTGATGAAGACGAAATGCCGAAGGAGACCAGCAGCCTTGTTTCTAACAGCAGGCCCGGAGAATCTTTGTTTGTGCAGGTTCACGTGAGCGTACAGGCGAAATATATTGTTAATTGAGAAGCGAGCAGCGCCGACGCGACAGCTCGGAAAGCACTCGGAATGACGCGGACGTGAACTAAAAGCTCCGCCAATGTTTCACATCCTCCGCCATGAAAACGCCAACACCTGTATATCATGGCAACACTACCAACAACCGCAAACATTCACCATGACACCAGAGCATTGCACAATTCCAATGATCTAGCGTGCATCTTGAGAGGAATGTCAAACTCGGCAATCGTTCGCAGAAGACAAACTTAACTATATGCAAGTAACCCAGGGAAAGTGCTCAAACATTCAAATACTGGGCTAGTGCTCGCTTTAGCAGTTGCAGTGCGCTTCAGAAACCCTCCACCTTCCCCAGCTCCACCTGTACAGATCTGCTACAGGGTGATTTCATGTATGTTTTATAGTGGGTTGTCTCATATATATGATATATGAGTCGCACAATTCCAATGATCTAGCGTGCATCTTGAGAGGAATGTCAAACTCGGCAATCGTCCGCAGAAGACAAACTTAACTATATGCAAGTAACCCAGGGAAAGTGCTCAAACATTCAAATACTGGGCTAGTGCTCGCTTTAGCAGTTGCAGTGCGCTTCAGAAACCCTCCACCTTCCCCAGCTCCACCTGTACAGATCTGCTACAGGGTGATTTCATGTATGTTTTATAGTGGGTTGTCTCATATATATGATATATGAGTAGCAGCAGTATTTCTCACATGCTCACAGCAGCATGTCATGGATGTACTGGCAGTAGCAAGTCTCAGTACTTGCTCTGCAGCAGCAGTAGCATAGCAGGTCTATTCTGCCAAGACCAAACACACTGACATGGCAGAATTTGAATTATGTAAAATTATTTTCTTGATTTAAAGGATGTTCACACATAACTGTGTTGCTAACATGTGAACAATTGGATTATGATGCATGATGGAAACATAAGTATGTGTTGCATTTTATTTTGTTTTTATAGAATTACCAAATTCCAACTGATGAACAGATAAATGTGTTTCACGTGATACTACGCTGTTGTGAGTTGGGCCCAAAATGACATTCAAAATGTTTCTGACTCTGATGGAGTAAAAAACTCTAAAACACTAAACACTAAAACACTTCCCCATTTAAAATAGCATTCATTACTGTCAAAATCATTTTAATTAAAGGCACACCTTGGCAATTAGTGATAATTTATTACAATAACTTTGCATTTTTCTGCTTAAGCATCAGGTTATTCTGTATTTCTTTGCTGTGGTATATTTTGCTATTCGGTTACTTGTCTTTCACTTCAGAATGTCTGTTATTTATTTTTTCTTATTATGGTACAGCACATTGGTCAGTGGACTTTTGTTTTAATAGTGCTTTATAAATAGACTAACCCAAACTGAAAACTGTTATTCTCATACAATCATATTCCTAAATAAGGATCCCAGATTAATGTTGGTTAATTTGTTTGGTACAGTTGTAAAAATTGTTCATGTGATTTAGATCTTACTTCTCTCCTCAATGTCTGAATTGAGTTATAATATGAGAGAGGAGGGACTCTGTGTTCATATGTCTCACAGAGACTGTGGTTGAATCGATTCTTTTCAGAGTGAACACTTGTATAATGGATCTTCATCCAGTTATTCTGCTCTGTGTCTCAGCTGGTATGTGTATTTATTTGCATAATTATTTATTTTTCTGTTAACAATTTTACTCAAAACTTTTCTCTAAAAAGTTACCAATTAACTTTCCATTTTCAGCTGCTGTCTTTGGAAATGTCATCAAACCAGACCAACCAGAAGTTTTTGCTGAGGAGGCTTCAGATATTACATTGTCCTGTAATTTTTCTGACTCTGGAACTACAGATAATCTCCACTGGTACCGTCAGTATGGAAGATCAAAACCTGAATTTCTTGTACTCACCTACAGCAGTGCAAAGGAAGCTCAGCGGTCTGATGTAGATCCAAGATTCACTGTTAAAGTTGAAAAAAGGGAACATGTGGATCTGAAGATCTCCTCTGCTGCTGTATCAGACTCTGCTCTGTACTACTGTGCTCTGCAGCCCACAGTGACAGGAAACACATCAGCTCTCTACAAAAACCTGTTACAATGAGAGATGAGAGACAAACACAGAGATAGAGATGAAGACAGAGAGAAAGAATCTGTGACTGGCAATTATGAACCAATAGTGGAAAAAAATCACAGGTAGTACTAAAATCAAAAGGCACACACAGATCCCTATGAAGCTACGCTTTAAAGGGGTCATATGATGCGATTTCAATTTTTCCTTTCTCTTTGGAGTGTTACAAGCTCTTGGTGCATAAAGAAGACAGCAGCATCATATGGCCCCTTTAACACCTGTAATTCAGTCAACTGTCAAACAATAAAGCATATTCCCCATTTGCAATAAATAGTGCAGGTTGATGTATGCCACAGGATGGCAGTGTTCACACACTTTCACGTGGAGATACTGCTATGTTCCTATCCTATATAAGAGAAATATAGTCATACTACAAAATTATGTTAAACGTTTATATAGTACAAATTATATTGAAAATATACTTACATAACAGAAAATATATAAATCAAGAAACCACATAATTTCTGGTATATTAATGTGCTTTTTGAAGAAATACTTCATTGTATATACTCCGTGCTCCATCATCACATTATCAAGCTTTGTGCAGTGATGCAAAATAGTGTAGTTATGAAAAATCAGTTTATTTGTGCTTATTGTTGACAGGTTTGGTGGCTGGAGACGACATTGAACCAGATAAAGGGACAGAAAAAAACTCTCAAGAAGGAGAAACTGTCAAGCTGAGCTGCTCATATACAGTAGTACAAACAGTGATTATGTTGTGCTTTACTGGTACAGACAGAATCCCAATGGAAAACCAGTATTTATTACGCAAAGGTGCCCGATTACGTTATGATGATAACACCTCTGATGGTCGGTTTCAGTCAACTACATCACGTACACCCACTGAACTCACTATTACTGATGTACGTATGTCAGATTCAGCTCACTATTATTGAGTAGCAGCCCAATGATTAAAAAAACATGACATGTCTGAAAAATCTGAAGCTCTTTTCACTTTGAAAATATCTAGTGAAAACCACAATCTATCCAGCCCTGAATGTAATAAAATATGTGGCAACACTTGAGTGAGTTTGACTTAGACATAAAAAGCAAAAAAAAAAAAAAAAAAACTCTACCGAAAATGAACTGACAATGTGTTCTGATATCATATTCTTTGCAGTTCCTTTTATACACAAATACATTCTTAATATAATTTCTTAATTGCTTGTCTTCAAGCAGTGAAACAGGGAGCCAATGGAGGGAAGTAACTTAAGTGAGATTTGTTGAAAAGGTGTTGAGATTTCTTTCTTTTCAATTATAGGACTCCTTGTAGTTCTTCAAATAACTGTCTCAGCACCACTTCTGTTGAGTTCATGGCTCTGTTGACTCTCCAACAGCATCCAGCCTATTTGATATTATTGTTCAGTCTGTTGGGTTTATCATGGCTTTGGCAGTGAAATTCTGAGCTTCTTCTTACATAAGCCATTGTCATGCTCAAATCTAGTCCTCAACAAACCAAAGCCATATTCTTTATATATGGACAAAAGCATGTGAAAACACCTTTTAATTGATAGGCGTTGCTAATCCAGTAATTTTATATTTATTAATTTTGCAAATGCTTTTACCCAAATGGTCTTTATGATTTATGTAATACAATAACATTCTGTGTGCTTTTTGGTCTTGCTGCAGCAGTTTGGGAAGGGACAACAATCCTGTGCACAAAGAAAGAATGATATGTTATTAAAACATTTGTTTTTATAATAGTACAGAAAGTAACAAAAGTCTTTGAAATCAGAAAGGGACTTATTGCATTAAGATTATATAATTTATTTCAGCTTTTGTCTAGAAGGTCCCTGTTTAATTTAATGAAACAACTAACATTAATTTCAGAAGTTGCCCACTGTGTGGCATAATCTATGACGCTGATTTATGAAGTCCCTGCTATATGTGTATGTCCTCTGCAGTTTTGCATTGTTAAACTAATATTGCCTGCTGCACATAAACTATGTTAATCTTGCTGAGGAATGTACGTTTAATGGCAGTTCTTAGTAAGTAACAACTCAATTAAATCTAACAAATGTGCAGGATCATTACATAAGAATATATATCTGTTTTTTTTTCCCTGACAGAGTGCATTACACAGGATTCTGTTAATCAGCCACAATATTTCAAAAAGCTTCTGAACATTACGCAGTTACACTTCACTGCACTTACAGTACCAGTGATTCATACCCTTCTCTTTACTGGTACCAACATAAAACCAACGGACTCCCAGTTTACATGCGCCGTAAACTCTCAACTGGATCAAGCAGCAGTGAAAAAGAATTTGAGGAAAGATTAAAGATCATGCAGATCTCAACAAATCCTCAAGCTCAGTTTCTCTGTCAATCCAGGATGTGTGTGTGTCTGACTGCTGTGTTTTATTGCGCTCTGCAGTCTGAAACACATACACATCCCGGACAATAAGAGCTCTGATTCATGCAGTTTTAACTTGAGCATTTTTTTCACTGCTGTTACAGAATAAACACACTTCAGCAGTGGGTGGAGCTTATTCAGCTTGTTGAGAGTGTGAGACAGTCAAACAGTTATTCAAACACTATTTTCCATCACTGTCTCTCTGAAGACATCATGTTTCTCTTTACCTGGATAATAATGCAACTTTGCATTGGTAAGAGATATTCATTCAAGCAATAGGTTTATTATGAAACAAAAAAACAAACACCTGAAAAAAAAACCTTAAAAACATTTGAGGCTTTGCATATATTTATTATTTTATTGCTTGATTAATTGAGACTCTTTTATTTTCCACAGGAACTTCTTTTGCTGATACAATACAACCACTGTCTTCAGAAAAATATATTGTTGAGGGTAAAAATGTGACTCTGTCTTGTAATTACAGTTCCACTGGCACTGTTAACTCTCTCCAGTGGTATCGACAGTATCTCGGAGCAAAACCAGAGTTCTTACTTCAGGTCAATGAATATTCAAGTAAATCTGAGCCTGATCTTCGTCTGTATTCAAAAGCTACAAAAGAAATCAAACGTGTGGATCTGATCATCTTCTCTGCTGCTGTATCAGACTCTGCTCTGTACTACTGTGCTCTGAGGCCCACAGTTACAGGAAACACAAGAACACTGTACAAAAACCTGATACACTATATTGCACTATATGTTTCATAAGTTTTCTGCATGAAGGCAGCATCAAATTAATCTATGTTTATTCGCAAATTCCTCTTAATTATCCATCATTTTAACATTTAGAGTTAGACTTTTGAGTACAGTATGTACTGTAAATGTAAAAAATTGTGTGTGTTACAAAAAAGATTAAAAGTCAAACAGGGAAAAACTACAACCAGTTTTTTTTTTTTTTAAATTTGTGGCAGAAGTTATTATGCATGCAAGCTCCTCGTAAGTGTTTAACCAGTGCTAACATATAGTCACACAGTGAAATCTAAACTCAGACTGGCTCATGTTCATTATCATAATATTTCATTAATATTACATCTGGAGTTTTTATACACTTTATGTAAACTATGTTAATCTGGCTGAGGAATTTATTTCTATTGGCTGCCGTTCTACGTAAACAGCTATTAATTCGAATTATTCCTTACATCAGGATATAGTTGAAAACTGATTTGTTTATTTACATATTTTATATTTCCTGATTGAGTGCACTTATCCAGTGCACTGATGGTTTAATCACTTTATTGCTTGATTCTTTTTCACAGAAACAGGAAACATAACAACACATTAAAGAAAACTGATACACAGTATTGCATCTACATCCCACATTTCCAACCCTCATATCTGCTAGCTCTATAAAGCACAAAATATTATTATACACATGGACTGTTAATTCACAGTACATGCATTTGCTTTCTCCCAGGTGGTGAGGAAGGAGGGGCTTCAAATATATCTGAAGGTAGTTTGTTGAACCCAACATAAGATCTTTTAAGCTGAGTCTGTAAACACAAATACAATGATACTCCATTCAGGTATTCTGCTCTCTGCTTTAGCATTTAAGTACCATTGTTTTTTTTTTAATGCATTACCTTTATGATCACAGCAAAGTGTGTACTATTACATCAAACAAAACAGTGGAGTTTGTTGCAGAGGGTTCAAATGTTGCATTATCCTGCAGTTATTCATCTGCATGGTCTTTACTTTGGTACCGTCAGTATCCCAGAACAGCTCCTGAGTTCCTTGTGCTCATCTCAGACAGTGCAAAACAAGCTCAGACGTCTGATGTAGATCAATGTTTCAGTACTAATGTCAGAAAAGAAAAACAAAACCATGTGGATCTGATCATCTCCTCTACTGCAGTATCAGACTACTGTGCTGTGAGGCCCTCAGTGACAGGAAACACAATGGCACTGTACAAAAATCTGACTGTAAAAGAAACTGGTGTTCTTCAGACAGGGAAAAATGTTACCCTTAAATCTTGAATTACATGCAGACCCTCCTCTATTATATCTAGAACCTTAAGATCATTTACTGCAAGGAAACAAAAAATAGGTGCATGATACCCATTGGTAGGCTATATCCAGTAACTAAATGGCTTTACAATACGGAGATGACTAGTGGGGATCAAGCATGTGTTCTAAAATCATTTTCAGGCAAATTCTAATTCTGTGAAAAATGTTATCCAAAATAACAATTTTTAAGATCTTTCAAACGTCATCCACAAGGGGTAAGCATCACTCTCTCCATGTATGAGTAGATCATGTGACAACACAAACATTTCAAGAAGCACTCTGTGAGATGAACACAGTTTTTGAGAGCACAGTTGAATGAATGTTTGTTCATAGATCAACTATGTTTAGATGGGCTTTGATTTCCCTGTGTTTCACAGCACATTATGATGGTAAGCACATCTGTATACTTTAAAAGAAAATAATTTACTTACAATCAGGTTAATAAATGTTTAGGTTTACTTTGCTAATAATTCATGTTAATGACTTACTTTTTTCGTTCTATTTTTCCAGTGTCCTTGGGACAGGGGAGGGTTGAACAGTCTTCAAGAGTAATGCCTGA